CCCTGGGGTGGTCTGAGGGGCCTCCCCCTGTCCCGTGCCCAGGTGTGCCTGCCCGAGGGATGCTGGCACACCTGTCCCAGCCCAGGCGCTCCCATCTCCATCTCTGAGGGGCCAGCTCAGTCAGAGCGTGTGCCTCCAGGACTGGAGGAGCCCCGCTGATGCTCCAGGGTGTGCAAAGACTCGGGTGTAGTTGCCATGGTGTATTCAGGTGGTTTGGCCTCCTCTGAGGAGCACGGACAGCATTGAGCACGTTTTCTGGGCATGGCACAGCTCCTGTGGCTGTGTTTTCCTGCAGACACAGCCAAGGCAGGTTTTATGACCTGCTGCAGGAGGGGGCACGTGGGGCTCACCCCCTGGTTCATGACCGTGGTCAGCTGCAGGCAGCGTGGCTCCGTTTTCCCCTGAAAGGGCACAGCACAGGGCTGCTCAGAGATGCTCACACTGCCAGGCTTTCCTGCCTGGTGATGTTTGCCCAGACCCCAAACCCCTCCCCTTCTGCTGGACAGTATTCCAGCTGACCAAGGCTTCTCTGCCAGGGGTTGTGCAGCCCCTGGAGAGCCCCTGGAGCTGGAAATGTGCTCAGCACTGGTGCTGCTGCCAGGCCAGGCTGTGCAGCCAGGCAGGGGCTGGGCACGAGGAGGTGGCAGCGGGCAGGAGGGTGACACGGGCACCATTTGAACCTGGCACACGTGGGCACACGCCTGAGACGTTCCTCAGGACGGCTGGGGGAGCCTGACGTTCATAAATGATTCTCCTGACTCCTGCTAATTTTAGCCTGGGAGTGTTTACAAACAGAGCAGCACTGGTCTCTGCTCCTGCTGCAGCAGGATTTCAGCCCCGTCCCTGCTGGCATATTCCCTACAGGAACAGCACAACGGGCCACAAAGCAGGGACAGCCAAGGGAGCACTCAGGGAGCACTTCTGCCTCACACAAAATGTTGAGTGCTGGTACACACAGGTTACTGCACACAGCATCTCTGAGCTGAGCACACTGCTTGGCTATGAGGAACCAGGAAAACATCAAAAAAATTAAATTATATCAGCACAGTTCATATGGAGCTTTGGAAACATGTTTAAATACACCCAAAGCAGTATAAAATCCTTTCCCTTTCGAAACTCTGACCTCCAAGTACAGCATTCCATGGATGTGTGATCATTATTCCTGCCCACTTGGATCTTCTAGGGGCGTCGCTGTTGATCAGCCTGAATTACTTAGAGAAATTAAACTGCAATCTCTGCCCCATCCATTAGCTGGAACTCTATTTGCGTGCAGCAGTTGGGCTTTGGCAATCAAAGGAAGAAGCTTGTGCACAGCAAGCTGTCTGCCCAAAAAAGATCATCTGTGTAGTGCTTTAGACTGCGTAGGAATAGGAGATAAAAATAATAAAAATGGTAAAAATAATTTGGGGGCCAAATGAAACATCCATTGAACAGGGACGTGCCTGCTCGGGGACAGGCTGTGCTTTGGCCCTGTGTTTAGCATTCACCTCACCTGAAAACCTTCCTGGGTTTTGTTGTGGCACACAGCTGGCAGTACAGAAATTCACCCTGGCATTCCAGTTGCAGCAGTGGCAGGCCAGGAAATAAGGAGATGTGCAGTGGATTTCTCTGGGCTGATTTTACTGGCACCACTGCAAAACAGTGGCAACTAAACCAGACACATGCCTGACTTATTTTATCCACATTGAATAGATACCTCTAGATGCCAGTATGAATATTGAAATATAAATTGAAATGAGGATTAAGTACTTGTATTAGTGAGACTTTATCATGTCTGGAATCTTAAATGTAAGGCCTAATCCTGCTCTGCCTGAATGTAGGGAGAGTTTTACTTCAGATTTAACTGGGAACATACCAGGAGCCATCATGACAAAGCTTTAAAGGCACAATGTAAGATTCCTGCTATATAAAAGAGTAGAATCTGGACCTTTTACAAACCCCTGCCTACTGAAAAGAGAAAATTTCAGCTTGAGAATCAGCCAAAGAACCAAGGAAAAAGTACACTGAGGAGCAATGTCACTACTGTATCTGTGTGGGTTCCAAAATTCCTCGGGGGATATATGTCTCTGTAGGTACTTTATGAGGGCAGGAAAAGCACGCTCATGGCTTGAGTGTGTGTTTTATGGACAGACCCTACAGCTACTGCACATCAAGCAGCCGAGCTTGGCTGTACAAAAGCACTTGCAGTTTACAGTTTCAGATTGTCAAGTGATACTTGACTTTGCCAAGCCTGTGCCAAGTCAGAAGCTTCTGGGAGAGGCTTCTGGGGGAATGAGCACCCTCAGCAGAGGCACAGCTCCGTGCAGCACGGCAGCTCTGCTCTGCCTGCTCCCGAGAGCCCAAAGATGATCTGCTGTGTGTGTCTGTGCTGGAAAAGCCTCATGTTTCACTTCACACGGAGCTCGTGAGCCCTTGCTGTGCCTGGGGCAACCCTGTTTGTCCCTCTGGGAAGGAGATTCACAAACCATACAAGGGTACAGATGATGCTCCAGCCATTTGTGCTGCCTGGCTTGTTGCCACTCAGTTGAAATGACACCGTTGCAATCTTGGAGGTGAACAGAGGTGTGTAAGTACAACAATTTACTGATGTCTGGCTTTAAATCGTGCTCCCCCAACAAAGACTGTCGTGAATTTAAACCCTCCCACGGCACACAGGGGGCACCTAAACAGCATTTACACAGACACATCAGATTTCTTTGTATTAAACGTCACTAAATCTCTTTCCTCTGGGTACCTGATTGATCTGGAGGTGCAGAAATTGCTGTAAATTCAGAGACTCAGAGAATGCTGTCAGTGAGAGCACAGGACCCATGTCAGGGCCATGTATAGGTACGTTTCTGCCTGAGCCTGGCTGTGCTGTGCAGCTTGTTGTGTGTCCCTTCTGTCAGCACAGCATCCGAGAGCTTCTCAGCTTCCAGGGCAGCAGCTGCAGAGCAATGAGGTGACAATTTCCCCTACTGTAGCTGGGCAGTGATGTACGAAGACACTGAGGTTCAGATTCATGTTTAAATACTTGGGTTAAAGAAATTCTGTTTTAAAGCCAGACCTGAAGTGATTTCCCTAAAATCCAGAGATGCTCACTTCAAAGCGAGGAAGTGATGAGGGAATCTGAAGACATAAGGCCACAGATACCATCTCCACTAGGATACCCCAGCCATCAAGGCAGCTTTCAAATTAAAGGCTGTGCAAACTGCAGCTGGATTGCCATAAGCCTTCATGCAAATCCCCTCAGATTTCGCATGCATAACTCGATATTTTATGAGTGTTTTAACTGACATTTCTAAGCCCTGAAAACTAGTAAGGGGAAAAACTAAGTCATTTTAAAACAGCAGGGTAAGCTCCCTCTGCCCACCAGTTGGTACAATTCTTCCAGAACCTGCTGAGCTGCTGCCTCCTTCCAGGGCAGTAAATGTGAGTGTACGGGCCTTGTTTGGTCAATGTAATAACTACTCCTGCAAAACTGAACAGGCCTCCTGCAAAGACGAGAATGGCTCGGGTAAGGCAGGTTCACTGTCAGCACTGACACAGCATCTGCCAGTGACATTTGGTGTTGGAAAGACCTCAGACCAGAAGTGTGAATTGTCACTGATTCTCAGCGAAGACCCTGCAAGTGCCTTTGAAAATCAGGTCTAAGCTGTATTGGACAGCTGAGATCTCCTCGCTGGGGCTCATCAGCTGCTTCTGACAGTGCTGGCTCAGCTGAACCAGAGAATGTCTCCTTCCCCATTCCACTTCCAGCCCCCTGGACTCAGCGGTCCCTGTTTGGAGAGAAACAGGCAAGAAAAAGACCAGGCTTTTAACCCCCTGGAGAGTCTCGGATGTGTTAAAAAAACAAACAACTGAGGAGGCTCGTGTGAAATAGACTTACATGGAGAGCACTCAACTCCACCATCATCAGAGGGCTCACTGAATCCTGGAGTCATTCTGATTGGGAAAGGCCTCTGAGATCATCAGATCTGGCAACCCGCAGTCCCTGCTCGCGGCGAAGCCATGTCCCGACGTGCCAGGCTCTGTGGTGTGAAATACCTGCGGTGTCGGTGACTTCAGCCCTGCCCCAGCGATCCGTGTCCCTGCAGTGCAGAGCCGAGCCGGGATGGGGCCGGGATGGCAGCACCGTGCCGGCTGCTGGAGCTCGGCTTGAACATCCCGAACATCCCTAACCGCAGTGGATCTGCAGCCGCCTGTGTGCGGCGGGGCGAGCCCCCATCCCACGCCGTGTTTCATCACCCGCTAGCCCAGAGCTGCCCGGCCAGGGCTGGCCGCGGAAAGCCGAGCTGTCCCCAGCTGTCGCCAGCTGTCCCGGGCTGCCGGGCAGCAATTCCTCCCCACTAAAAATAGCGGCCCCGGGGTGCTGCCGAGCCGGGACCCCCGGCGGGCAGCGGGGCACAGGGCACAGCGCTTCCCTGGTGCCAGCCCTGCCCCGCTCCGTCCCGGTGCTGTGCAAATCCCTCGTGTCCCCCGGCCCGGCCAGGCCCCTCGGCCGGGGAGAGCGGGCAGGAGCAGCCCGGCCCCAGGGGCTGCCCCGGCCCGGCACGGCTCGCCCTTCCCCGAGGTTATTTTGGGCGCTGCCGAGCGGGGCCGGGCTCCGCGGGGTGCATCGCCTTGGGCCCTCCCCCGACGGCGGCCCCGCGGAGGAAGTTTTGCCCCAGCGAGGAGAGCGGGACAGGGGGGCGGCACACGCCGCTCCGGCACAGGTGAGGGGCGCCGGCTGCCCGCGGGGTCCCTCGCTGCTCCCCGAGGGGCTGGGGCAGGGGCGGGGAGGGTGAGCGCCGTCCCACGGCCCGGGGAGAGCGGCGGGGCTGTGCGCGTTCCCTGCGGGGGAACCCGATCCCCCTTTGCCCTCCGTGCCCGCCGTTAACGGGAACCCGATCCCGCTGTGCCCCCCGTGCCCCCGGCCCGCGCCCTGCGCTCCCGCGCCGGCAGCAACAGGCGGGGAGCGGGCGGCGCCCGGAGCCGCCGCTGCGGCGGGGCTGGAGCGCTCCCCGGGCCGGGGCTGTCTCCGGGTCGGGCCGGGGGCAGCGGGGGGCAGCGGGGTCGCGCTGCCCCCGCCCTCCCTCCCGCACCGTTTAATGGAGCCCCGGCGCGGCTGATGCGGAGCGGGATGCGCGGAGCCGGGGGCTGCCCCCTCCAGCCCCGCTCGCTGCCGCCAGCGTAAACCTGCCGCCTCTTCTGCAGTGACGGGGACTCGCGTCCTCCTCCTCCTCCTCCTATCCGCGGCTGCAGCTCAGCTGCTCCATCCCATTATTATTAGGGGAGGATGCGAAAAGAGAAAAACCCAAACCCAACACGCCCAAGCCAACAGCCCCCCCCGAGTCACGGCACCCCCTCCCCCCGGTCGGTGGGACTTGCAGGACCAGCTGCGCTTCCCTGGCCCTGGGGAGGGGAGGCAGAGCCGGGGAGGCGGGGGAAGGAGGGGGCCGGGGCCGGGCAGACACAGGGAATATCGCTTTTGTCTCTGGCACGGCGAGCGGCGCAGGGGCTCGGTGCTGCGGCTGCCGGAGCCCCCCGCTCCCCGCTCCGCTCCCGCAGGCACCGCGCCGGCGCCGCCGGGCTCCGAGGCTCCGCTCCGGGGAGCGGGCAGCTCGCCGGCTCCTCATTTCCCCCCCTTCCCCTGCTCCTGGTGTTATTTCAGCCTTCTCGGCGTAGAGGATCCCCCACACGCACGCACGCTGCCCCCCGCCCGAGGTTTCTTTGGTCCAGCCGGAATTCGCGACGCTCGCGGGGATTTTCCCACCCAAGCTGGGGTCTATGAGCGGGAAGGTGATCAAGCCCAAAGAAGAGAAAGATGCTTCCAAGGGTAAGGCAGGCGCAGCCGCCCCGAGAAGCGGCTCGCTCCCCGGCCCGACCGCGGGCTCGGCGGGCCGGGAGGGGGGCACGGCTCCGGGGGCGGCCCCGGCGGGGGGACCCCGGCTCGGAGG